TAGAAATTTTTCATTGTTAGGAATTCGCAGATGTTGGACCAGTATTACATCTTCTCATATTCTGGCTTGAAGTTCTTTAGTTTTAGAACTTCGCAGATGTTGGACCAGTATTACATCTTCTCACATTCTGTCAATTGTTCACATGGTTTTGTTTGGATTATTATTACTATTATGTTTCAAGTTCAAAGTACTTATAAAATTTTTAAAGGTTTTTTTTCTAACTTTTCTAACCTACACAACCGTTATCGTGTGTTTTTTTTCTAATATTCAACCGAACATTTTACATTGGTTTACCTTGAAAATGCAATAACAATACCGAATTCAAAGTCAAAAGTTTAGACATGTTTATCTACCTATTATCTGACACAATGACAAAATCAAGAAACTTACAGGGTAGAGGAGGCCAGATTAGAATCCTCCTTTTTCAACTGGCCTTCGTATGCGACACCCCTCTTGACGCGACTGTATTCCAGACTAGGACGGATTTCCACCACCTTCTGAACAGTAAAACCGGGATTGATGGGACAGCCATCCCTAAGAACGGAAACCAAAGGTTCTACATTTGAAGCTATATCAGTAACTGAGTCACATTCTTGTCTCTTACGTTACCGTATGAATATTTTATATGTTTATCGTTGTACGTTATATTTTACGAAATAAATATATTTTCTTTGGCGATTAGTATTTAAATTTTACACCTGAACAGTGTTTATTACAACTTTCTTTATATTTTATATGGACTAATATATCAATTAAAAGTTCCCTCTCAGCGTCTCAACCGTAAGCTTTATGGGCTTATAACGCTAAAATTCAGGGTTCGATCCGCGAAGGCCGTAGAGCTCAGATTTGTGCTGAACAACAAATATTCGTTGTTAAAAGAGTAGCCCAAGAGCTGGTGGTGTGTGGTGATGGCTAGCTGCGTTCCCTCTAGTCTTACACTGCTAAATTAGGGACGGCTAGCGCAGATAGCCCTCGTGTAGCTTTGCGCGAAATTCAAAACAAACGAAACGAATCCAACAAATATTAATTACGAGTAAAAAACATCGTGTAATCTACAAGAAATGTCAAGAACGATGTGTTGAGGATAATCACAACTTATTTAAGTAGGGTGTGTTGAATCCAAGGAAGAAAGACCGAAACTGGCAACAGATTGCGTTCAACCAAACTACATTAACTGTATTATGCGGGATGAAAAAAAAATGTCCAATCTAAAAAAAGAAAAAAAAGAAGAAGCACGAAACGTTGTTTCTTTTTAACATTGTTTACACTGACTTAAAATATTAGAATCCGGGGTTCGATTTCCTTCCTTGGATAGAGCCCAGATAGACAATTGTGTGTATATATATATATATATATGCGCTAATGAAAAATTCTAGATTATTAAATCGGGTTATAAATTTATCTTATTACATTTATCCGGCAAAAACTTTGGGGAATTATGACCCCCCCAAAAAAAACTTGGGAATTATGCCCCATAAAATTTCTGATTATGCAGTATTGTGTAGAAAAATATAAATTATGCATTCATTATAAGTCAACATTTAGAATTATGTAACTTTTACCCGAAGTAAAACGGCTTAAAACAATAATAACAGAGAAAGAGGGTCTTAGAAATGATTAACGTCATCAACAGTAGTTCAACACTATTTTTTTTATGAAATAACAACAAGGTTTGGAAGTTCGCGCAAAGCTATACGAGGGCTATCTGCGCTAGCCGTCCCTAATTTAGCAGTGTAAGACTAGAGGGAAGGCAGCTAGTCATCACCACCCACTGCCAACTCTTGGCCTACTCTTTTACCAACGAGTAGTGGGATTGATCGTAACGTTATAATGTCTCCATGGCTGAAAGGGGCGAGCATGTTTGGTGGGACGGGGATCCGAGCCCGCGACCCTCAGATTGCGAGTCGAGCGCCCCCTATCCACCTGGGCAGATAACAACAACAACAACAAACATTTTTAGGCGTTAGAAATTGTACGATCAGAAGATATCACTTATTAAAGAACAATAAACACCAGTACTCACCAGACCGGCTGGGATACGACAGGCATAGCAGTGGTTGAGATGTTGACCCTGACCTAGACTTGACTTTACTAAGTCTAGAAATTCAAATTTGATTATGCAATGATCACGCAATCAACCACTGATTATGCGGTCATTGTAGAATTATACAAAAACACGCTGAGGGCCGCGTTATCGTGTCAGACTTGAGAACCTGTCACAATTATTTAATTTATCATGACTACTTACTGTGTATCTACACATGCCACGGTAGCTCTATAATGACCGCTAGCGAACATACATATGTCGATGGTTTGAACCGCTGAAATAGACAGAAACAAATATGAATTAGTACTGTTAATAAACAAACGGGTAATATATTCATTTTTTAACCCTAAAACAATCGATGAGAAACCGGATTTTGAAACACATTTCTATACGTTATTTATGCATCTAACTAACTGTCCGTGACCATGTTGGTTACAACGCCCTTAATAACGTACGAGTCATACAAAACCTTTACACAAAAATTATATCAACACTGCAGACAATTTCACTAATTATTCCCAGGATCCATCTCGTACTCTGCAGTGAAAGACAATGACTGATTCCATACAATATAATGTCACTTCTTTACACAGAGTGCTGTAACAGGTAAAAAGATGTAGACCCCTACCGGTAATGGACGGTATAAAAATAATTTGGTAATTTTGAGGGATAATTATACTCGGAAGTTTTTCTTTTGTACGTAAAGATATAAAACGTACAATTATTTTTCATTATTTAATTTACGTGTAACATATATAATTTCTTGACCTTTCAAATAATAATAATTATCACGATACGACTTTCTTTATCTCTTAAAGTGTAAAACAAAATGATGATCACTTATGACCTCACAGATGAAGTTTGGCAATAAAATAATGTGGTCAAATTCGTGACTTTATGTTAAACTCGTTTTTTGAATCCTAAAAATAACTGGTCTAACGAAATTTATTGAGCCTGAGACAGGGACCTGTTTTGTTTGAATAGAATCCTAAAAAGTAAGAAACGAGATTAAGTAAACTGAACAAGAGATCCCGAACCATTTGATCGTTGTGGTTGAGTATGGTCTTAGATAGAATTGGTGTTATTAAGTAAACTGAATCTGAGATCTGGATATGTTTGATGGTTTTGAATATAAAACTAGAAAGAAGAGGTGTTATTAAGTAAACTGAATCTGAGATCTGGATATGTTTGATGGTTTTGAATATAAAACTAGAAAGAAGAGGTGTTATTAAGTAAACTGAATCTGAGATCTGGATATGTTTGACGGTTTTGAGTATAAAACTAGAAAGAATAGGTGTTATTAAGTAAACTGAATCTGAGATCTGGATATGTTTGATGGTTTTGAGTATAAGACTAGAAAGAAGAGGTGTTATTAAGTAAACTGAATCTGAGATCTGGATATGTTTGACGGTTTTGAGTATAAAACTAGAAAGAATAGGTGTTATTAAGTAAACTGAATCTGAGATCTGGATATGTTTGATGGTTTTGAGTATAAAACTAGAAAGAACAGGTGTTATTAAGTAAACTGAATCTGAGATCTGGATATGTTTGACGGTTTTGAGTATAAAACTAGAAAGAATAGGTGTTATTAAGTAAACTGAATCTGAGATGTGGATTAGCTTGATCCTTTTGAGTATAATCCTAGAAAGAATAGGTGTTAATTAAGTAAATTGAATCTGAGCTATTATTCGTTTGATCGTTTTGTATTAGTGTTAATCCCCAGAAGAAGAACCTGAGATCCGGATCCGTTTTACAGTTTTGCTGGAGTAGTTCCGGACTGATATGTTAACAGTGATGGGATCTCCGTGATGAAACACCTGACGATCCAGAGTTGCCTCCAGCTCCAGTTCTCCAGGGCTCAGTAAAAAGTCTTTGCGGACAATGCTACAAGGCTGTCGACCTTGTTTAATCGGAGCCCACTGGATCTTCCGAATTCCGAACTTCACAGTGCTCCTGAGAAATAAAACGACATTATTCTATCAACTTTATCGCTTCTTCGTTAGAATTACATATCATTCTCTGGTGATAAAATATCAAATATGATATGAGGGTAGATTAATTTACAATATGAGATTCCAAAGGGTATCGTATGGACAGTAGAATTAACCTTTGTAATGTTAACCCTTTTCTCTACTTAGCTATTATCAGTGTCCCTCTGGTGGGTAGGCAGTAAGTCTACGGACTTAAAATGCAAAAATGTGGGATTCGATTCCCCGCGGTGGTCACAGTAGATAGCCCAGTGTGGCTTTGTTCTAAAACAAATATTCTACTGAACTTTGTATAGCTTTTCACTAGAAACAAACAACAACAATAAAAAACAATGTTATCATGGTTGAATCCTGAAAATTTGTGCATTCTCGTCTCCTGATAAAAATAAAAAATAATTGACTACATTGATTTAGGATTTTTTTTGTTTATATATACTGACCAAAGTTA